ACTCGAATTGTTTTTTTTCATGTTGTTTATTAAATGCGAAGCTCTAGTGTTGATATATTGTGACCCTCGGCCGAGCTCGCGCAAGGTCGTGCTTGGCAACATTGTGCACTCTACTCTTCCTACACAGCTGCATGACTTTCATTTTTACATGTACTCATGCTTATAATTTAGGAGTATTTAGAAGTGGTTATATTATTTTATTTGGAAACACTATGATGTGCAAGCTCATTTTTTTCTTGACTTGAGAAGTCCCATGAGGATTGTGAGGCATGTTGATCACTTTTATGTGGGTCGATCTATTTCCACTCATTTTTTCTTGTTTTATTTGCTAATAAATAAATGCGTTGACTAAACCATCTGATCTCATCTAGTGAGGCCACCTCAGTCGACAAAGACTCGCACTAAACCGTGGGCCACGTCGCCGCCACACAGTGGTGTCAGCAGCCATGGCATGACAGACGTCCAGCACGATCTTGAAGTTTGTGGAGTTGCAGATGGTAAATCAGAAACCGGAGGATTCAATTCAACGGAGACGGCGCATCTGGAAAGTGGCACCGGTTTTGATTGGCCACACTCCACTGTCTGATTGCAAGTCACCGGACATGTCCTTTGTTGTGTGACGGCCGTGCGTTCTGGTGTCGTCCCTTTCGGTGCGCGTCGGGTCAGTAGTATCACATCGCAGGAAATCTCCTGTGCCTCCCTCAGGCTGCTACCGTGGCCGCATTCATCGCCGCGCGCGATGTCGGTGCAATTAGTAGCAGGGATTCCATCAGTCCAAGCAAAGCAACCCACAGTGGAACGATAGAGCATACACATACAGGAAATGCAGCCCAAAAGCTTCAGAACTCGAGATTTTATTATTCTCTTCCTAGCTCCCTCCCGTATGAGAAGACCTGGAAGGCCACTTGTATAACGAATCCACCACTAAGAAAACTCGTCCTTCGCTTCTCTATCTGCATGTATGTATACACCTGAGATTTTTTTCCCTTACAAGAATATGTCAGAAAGGGTAACAAAAAAACACACACACACACACAAGGGAACTAAAGAATTGAGCGGAGAGCCGGAGCGGACAAGAGTGGAAAAGCAGATACAAATGGGCGTGGCCAGAGATTTCACTCCAGCCGGGGCAGGCGCTTTCTCGGGCTCCACTATCATCATGTGGGCGTACAAACGAACAAGGCCGTCGTCGTTAGTCGAGTAAGCACGCATCAGCTACACCCAAATCGCATTCGCACGGAACTCGAACACCGCTAACAGCAAACCAGCCGCATCTCCCACCTATTTACACACAAAAATCACCCCCTACTGCTGCTACTATACTCTGACGGGAAACCCAAAATTCTGGAGTATCCTGATCTGACCCCCACTGCCTGCCGTGGCGATGGCCATGCCCCAGGCCGACCGGCTCGGGGCCTGCCCGGCGCCGTCACCGTCGGGGAGACTGGTGCTGGACCGCGGGCTCTGTTTCGTCGGCGTCATGAGCTCCTCGGGCCAGGTCGCAGACGCTCTGTCGCCGCCGCTGTGGTTCGAACCGTTGCTTAGGTCATCGCGGCTCTGCTGCTGCTGGAAATCAGAGGAATCTCCGTCTCCTGCGTGCGGCAGAGGATACTCGGACACACAATCCAGCTCCTGGTGCTTCCTCCTGGAGTTGGTCCGGGACGTCGCCGCTGACCCCGCCGTGGATGGCAAGGCGGCGGCCACCGTCACGTCCCGGCAGTAGAAGTACTCGTAGGAATTTGCGACAGAAACGACGCCCTTGCTGCTGCTGCTGCTGCTTCTTTGCTCGTCAGGGCCGTCGTCGTTTCTCCACACGTACACATGGGAGTTTTCGCTCGCTGAGATCACGTATCTGCCTCTGGCTGCGTAGCAAGCTGAGATTTGGCTGTTGGTGTTACGGAAACCTGGAAATGTGAAGGAACAGGGCGTCAGCAACCGACAAAACATACGGATATCAGATCCCGTCCTAAAAGGAAGAGATGAGTATTTTAACATTGCTAATTGGACATTACGAGCTATCAACTCAACATAGTGGATTCTGACGAGTTTTGGCGCTTTGCTGAAAAGAAGAACATGACAGCAGAAACTGGTCTCCACCGTTCACATTCAATCAATCAGCAGAAATAGCATTGCTTATAAGCTGGTTACCACACCATGATTGACAGCTGCAGCCCTACTCTAAACAGAACTTTCATACAGCAAATATAATGATAGGTAATAGTGGCAAATAGGTTAAACAGGTCAAGGACTAAAACTACAAGTAAACTTTAAAGCAACAGTGTCTCGAAAAGATTACCGGCCAAACCTTGAAGATAATAGCAATATGGTATGACACAGTAGCTATGATTCGTTAAGACCTTGATACCTTTAAATTTGTGAACTAGTTCAAAATCATCAATAACTCGGATCCGTGAATCGGCAGATGTGATGAGCACCTTCGAAGAACTCCCTGGAAGGAACTGATCAAGTAACTATGATTCAGTAAGAGACCAAGGTTATCATCTGTATGGCCTGGTGTCAGAACAGAACAGATTCGGAAGTCTTTAAAAGTAAGCACCTGAAATCCAGTGATCTTCTTCTGGCGGGACTTCTTCTTTTTAGTTTGCAAGTCAATTTGTTTCTTTTGGATAAGCTTATTATCTGGTAAAGGGTCACACAAAGGGTCAATTCTGAAGGAAAAGTAAGAGCTACACATTCAACAAAATAATCTTGAAAATGTCATAAATCATCAGAGCGGGGGAGAGAGAGACCCGATGTGTCATAAAGATGACAGCTGCCCTTGTGGGAACCAACTAACGCACTCTTCAGGGAAAATGAAACTTGGTGTTAGAACTTAACAAACGGAACACATTTAGGGTCGAAAGTATACAAACCTGTCCATCAGGGGTATAGCAAGCAGCAGTGACCATTTCATGCAGATCATGCCAATCAACAATTTCACGTTTTGGAATGCTCCAGATGCGGACCTTTTCATCCAGAGAACCACTAATGAAGTATCTATCATCGACAGGGTTGAACTGGATGCATGTCACTGGAAAGCAAAGCAATAAAGGAAAACTGAGGATAATGCTGACAGAGTGAGAGGCATTCCATGTGTGAGCTAAACTGATGATTAAATCGAAATCTTACCATAGTCACAGTGTGAGAACGTTTTCAAACATGATACACTTGACATGTTCCATAACTTCACTGTTTTATCCATTGAAGACGAAAGCAAGTACTGCACACATGAAGTTTAAGGTAAGAAATTTTGTAAAGACACCCGAATCATAATAAATATTATTACAAGATTCAAACAGTGGTAGCAACTAGCAACCATAGTTCGGACGCATTGCTGGATTCACTATTGCAAATTGTGAAGTTTGGATATGTAGCTAGCACAGTAAGGTGTAATTGTTCGCTTATAGCTGCCTGTGACAAGGACCCAACAATGTTTATGCATCTAATCTATAATCATGCATATCACCTTTCTGAATGATACTGAACATCAGAAATGTCGGAAAACTTCAAGGTGCAGGTCCTAGTTTCTAGACAGTAAGACAAATCATAACTGAATGGCAACTAAAATTCAAACTCCATGAGTAATAACATGTATGTCATGCAACATGCTAGAGATTTCCTGACGCTCCAAGATACATTTAAGCCTAACATAGTTATTAGCCCATGGGCAAGAACATTCGACAAATAAAGGATAATATAGAATTCGGTTTACTATTAAAACCTGGGATATCCTAATCATATGGGTACATAACTCCATACTATTTCATGCAAGTCTAGTAGAATGGATTTGACCTTCACTTAAACCTAGAATAAGCTTGGCCTAGAAGGGGTAAAATCGGCAATAATGGAGTCAAAAAATAAGGCTCAAATATACTGGCACAGCACATTATTACCGTGGATGGTTAAATTTTGCAAAACCTCATATCACGCTTTACATCAATGAATGAAAAGACTTAACCCAACATATTTCCAACACTGTAAATTTAGGCACGACAATCTTAACTTCGTTTGCTCTCGAGAAAGCACAACAATCTTTCCGAACATCCAGTATAGCATTCTGTGTATCTAATCAATCTCAATTTATACAACATTTCTAAGATCTAATCCCTTTGGAAAACTCAAACGCAAATGAGTCTTCCCACCTATCATATGGTTAAATTGAGAAGCTTGTGTCATGATAATATGATAAAGATAACTCCAGTAGTTAACACTCTTGGAATTAAAGTACTTCAAATCACATTTTGAAACACGTATTATCTAGTTAATTTCGAAAAAGAAAAGGAAAGGGAAATTACAAACATTACAGTGTGAAATGCTTATGTTACAGTCTGGGTACTAACTTTACTGTTTGATTCAATTGCCACTACATGTACCAAGATAGAAATAATTACCAGAACAGGCAAACTGCAAGCTTGGAGAACACATTCCTTTCTTTAAGACAGACAGCAGGTTCAGTTAGTTTTATGCATTATTACAACCTTCCTTTTGAAGAACAGATTTCAAAGTAGTAATCGCTTAGAGCTACAGGATACCAGTTTGCATACAATATGGCCTGTGTTTCTAAACCACTACAATTTGATTTGCTATTTGTCAGTTCATCATTTACAGTCAGCTACACTCTAAATGTCTGGCATGGCTGGACTCTCAAATATGGCAAAGAACTTTGGGGTTGCTCAAACAATGCAGTACTTATCAAGTTCTGCCTTTAAGAGCCTAAGAATAAAAATGAAATTATTGAGGACTAATTAATCGACAGAGCTTTCTAAATTGGGCAGAAATTGGGTTGTGGGATTAAATTCAGTGCTCACATTGTAGTCAACACGAAACAAGTTCAGGATATTAGAATGAGAAGCAACACATCATACCTGTGACTTGGACCAGCATAGATCAAGAACATCCTCTGAATGCCCCTCAAAAGTTTTGACAGGTTTTTCCGACAGTCCAAACACATGCTCTGGCACCATCAACCGGTCTGAGCTACTGGATTTCCGACATTGTGAGACCCTCGCCCGGAGTTTCTTATCCCAATGGCTCCCATCCACAGTGGCCAAGGCCAATGTTGGCTCTGGCGAACCATTGCACATCACTGCAACGAATGGATTAGACACCCCATTCTCCTCTCGTCTCCTTTCAAACTCCAACACTTCCCAGACATGGATCACACAGTCCACCCCAGCACTTGCAAGGTAGCGCCCATCGGGGCTAAACTTGATACTCCAGATAGAGCCGTCGTGCGCCGGTACCTCCTGGTTCATGAACAGCCCACTGAGCTCCTTGTACGACTTGCCGTACAGCCGCACCTTAATGCGCTCTGGGCCATGGTGCACGGCGCCGGCGCTATCCTGGCTGTCATCCGTGGCTGAGCTGGACCGGCGTCCGCCCTTCTCCGATGACGTGTCCTTCTCGTCGCTGCTTCGGCGGTCACGGGAGCCGGCCACCATCGAGCCAGCGACGTGGCGGATGGTACGAAGCCAGCTAATGCGGCGCCTGGGCCGGGCCGCGCCGTTGCTGGAGTCGGAGCTGGACCTGTGGATGGGAGTGGAGGCGCCGTCGTTTGCAATGTTCTGGCGGCGCATGAGCTCCTGCACGATGGGAGAGCGGCCGACGCAGAGCTGGAACTGCTCCAGGGTGAGCTGGCGGCCCGTGCCGACCTCGCGGAGCTGAAACTCTTCCTTGACGACGAACTCGGTGCCGTCGTCGAGGTTCCGGATTAGGCACCTGGGGTCGGCCTCGTCGTCCTCCGGCATGGCCTCGGAGGAGCCCGACGAGGCCCGGCCCCCTCGCGGCGGCTTGGCCGGCACGGCGCCGTCCGATCTGGATCGGGGCATGGGCGAGAGCATGGGCGGGCGGACGGGCCTGTCGTAGGAGACCGATCGGCCCATCTCGAGGCGCGCGAGGGAGGGGTCCCCGGCGAGCCCCATCGTCTGGAGGAGCCTCCTGCGGCGCTCCTGCACGGGCGCCGGCTGCGACGTCCACAGGTCCAGCGCAGCCGCGGCCGCCGCAGGCGGGTAGGCGTCCCGTCGGCGTCGCTGCTGCTGCTGCGCGTGGTCATCGTCGTCGGAGGCGGAGGTGGAGGAGCCGGAGGAGGAGAGGACCCGGTCCCGCGACTCGTAGAACACCTCCTCGTCCTCGTCCTCCTCCTCCTCGCCGCCGCTCATCTCCCCCCGCGCATTGACCGCCTCGGCGAACACCGCGAGGAACTGCTGCGGCTCGCGGGGTCGGCGGGGGAGACGGAATCACGCGGGTACGCGACGAGGGGTCAGATCCGGCAGCAGCGGGAGGGGAGGCCCGCCCGCGCGCGCGAGGTCGTCGGCGGAATCGCGACAGGTTCGTGCCTGCCCTCGCCCCCCCTCTCGTCTGCCTCGGTGGTGGTTGGTGCCGAGGCCGTCGTCGTTGTTATTGCGGAGGGACGCGATGCCTCTCCCCTCCCCACCCCCACCCCTCTCCCGCGTGCGTCGTCGTCGCAGTCCTTGGTTGTGTTTACCACCACCGGTTACTGTTTACTGTCGGGCCGGTCGACGGTCGTACTCCGCCTTGGCCTTTTCGGCCGGTCGGCCACACTTGTCCTTGCCGTCGGCCGGTGGCACTGGCGTGTCCGTGTCCGTCACGAGCCCATCCCTTCCCTCCCTCCCGACCCATCCTCCGGCCGACACGGTGCGGTGCCCGTAACCGTAAGCCTGTGCCGTAACGTCGAGCACGGCGGCACGCACGCATCTGGTGTCCGTCGGTTTGCACCCCGATCGCGCGCACGCGGCCGTTGCGGGCGTAAGCGCCCGGCGCGACAGCATGATTCAGCAAGGAGCGAGCACAAGCCACCGTGCAAAAACACGGTGGACGGAGCACCGTCCACGGCTTTGCCGGGTCCGATCCCAGGTGAAAATGAACAAACTAGCCCTTATCTAAAACTTCAACATAAAATGATCCCAGTCTAAAAATATTTTACGAAATGGTCCTTTTTTGCATGACGCCCGCAGCCAAGGCGCCATGCTAGAGAGCATGACGCCCCGGGCTAGGGCGCCATGATAGCGACATGTAGCATGGCGCCCCGGCCTAAGGCGCCATGCCAAATAGCATGACGCCCTAACCCGGGGCGTCATGCTATCTAGCATGGCGCCCTAGCCCCGGGCATCATGCAAAAGGGACCATTTCATGAAATATTTTAGATTGGGGCCATTTTGTGTTAAAGTTTCAGATAAGGACCAATTTTGTCCATTTTCACCGATCCCGGCTCCTAGGTATCTCTAATCATCACTAATAAACCTTTAATTTAACACAACATGGACGAAAGCGTTCATATTAGAAAAAACCTCATGTCGCCTAAATATACTCAACGCTCGCGCGGCGAGTAAAAATGTGCCCGCCTCTTTCTCTTGCCCTTGCGGCAGTGTCCTTCCCATCGTCGCCGTCACCACCGATGACCGCCCCCGTCGCACGTGGGTAGCCAGGACTCTCCCGCCACCGAAAACCACCCTTGCGCCACCGCCCACACTGAAAAAGAGGTTGGAGATAAAAAATCTCCACCGACCAAAAGCACCGGCTCCAACCGTGATGAAGGCCGCCGGGGTGGCCACTGCCTCTCCGACGATCGTCGATCATCCTCCCGCCGCTCCCGCCGATGGCAAGAGAGCTAGGAAACTGACGATTGCGGCGGCGGCCCTCGCGGAGGTGGCCGCGAAGAAGAAGGCCACTCCGGCCCTCCGTCCACTCCCAACGCCTCGTGCAGCGTCTCCAGCCACCCTTACAACCACTGCTCCAGCGCGCCCGGCCGCCACAGCCGGCAAAAAGGGCCGCGACCGCCAAGTGCTCTAGGAAATGCCAACAAGGTAAAAAAACTTATTTTTCATTTCGGACAATGAATTTGATGGTGATTGCTGATGCCCAATGATGATGGAGTTTGTTGGTATTGTTGTCGTTGTGTGGAGATGAACACGACCAAATTATTGGCGTCTTTGGAGTCCTCAGATGCGTTGGGGCTAGATGATCTCAATTACGATTCAATTTGGGATCATTGGGAGGTGGCCGAAGAGGAGTTGGGCGAAGAGGAGGTGGCCGCTGAAGAAGAACTTGAGGTTGAGGAGGTGACCAAAGCAAGCACAAAGACGTCGCGGTCACGAACTCACAAGTACAATCAACTTGAAGATATTGCTCTATGCTATGCTTGGATGAACATCTACATGGATGCATCGGTTGGAACGGATCAAAGCAAGGACAAGTTTTGGGAGAGAATTTCATAGTGTTGGAAATATGCCCTAGAGGCAATAATAAAGTTGTTATTATTATATTTCCTTACTCATGATAAATGTTTATTATTCATGCCAGAATTGTATTGACCGGAAACTTAAATACATGTGTGGATACATAAACAAATACCGTGTCCCTAGTAAGCCTCTACTAGACTAGCTCATTGATCAAAAGATGGTTAAGGTTTCCTAACTATAGACATGTGTTGTCACTTGATAACGAGATCACATCATTAGGAGAATGATGTGATGGACAAGACCCATCTGTTAGCTTAGCATATGATGGTTCAGTTTATTGCTACTACTTTCTTAATGTCAAATACATATTCCTTCGATCATGAGACCATGCAACTCCTGGACACCGAAGGAATACCTTGTGTGCTATCAAACGTCACAACATAACTGAGTGATCATAACGATGCTCTACAGGTATCTCCGAAGGTGTCTGTTGAGTTGGCGTGAATCGAGATTGGGATTTGTCACTCTGTATGACGGAGAGGTAACCCTGGGCCCTCTCCATACAGCATCACAAGAAGCTTGCAAGCAAAGTGACTAAGGAGTTAGTTACGAGATGATGTATTATGGAACGAGTAAAGAGACTTGCCGGTAACGAGGCTGAACTAGGTATGTGTTGGGGAACGTAGCATGCAATTTCAAAAAAAATCCTACGCTCACGCAGGATCTATTTAGGAGATGCATAGCAACGAGAGGGGGAGAGTGTGTCCACGTACCCTCTAGACCTAAAGCGGAAGCGTTTGATAACGCGGTTGGTGTACTTGAACTTCTTCTCATTCTGACCGATCAAGCAGCGAACGTATGGCACCTCCGAGTTCTGCACATGGTCAACTCGATGACGTCTCTCGAACTCTTGATCCAGCAAAGTGTCGAGGGAGAGTTTTGTCAGCATGACGGCGTGGTGGCGTTGATGGTGAAGTGATTCGCGCAGGGCTTCGCCTAAGCACTATGACAATATGACCGGAGGCGTAAACTATGGAGGGGGGCGCCGCACACGGCTAACAATCGTTGTTTTTTTGTGTTCTAGCGGTGCCCCCCTCATATATATAGGTTGGAGGGGAGGAGAGGGAGCCAAGGGGGTGCCCCAAGTAGGAGGAATCCTACTTGGGCTGCTCCTAATTCGGCCTCCCCCCTTCCATGTCCATCCAGAGGGGGAATGAAGGAGGAGGGAGGAGAGAAGGAAGGGGGAGGCCGAATCCCTCCCCTTCCTTTCTCCCTTCTCTTCTTTCCTTCCCCCTTATTTTGGCCTACATGGGGCGCACCATCCCCTTAGGGGCTGGTATGTTCCCCTCTTGGCCCATTAAGGCCCATGTAGTTGCCAGGGGGATGCCCAGAACCCCTTCCGTTCACCCGATATGCACCCGGTACCCCCAGAACACTTCTGGTGTCCGAATACCATCGTCGAATACATGAATCTTTACCTCTCGACCATTTCGAGACTCCTCGTCATGTCCGTGATCTCATCCGAGACTCCGAACAACATTCAGTCACCAAATCACATAACACATATAATACAAAATTGTCATCGAATGTTAAGCGTGCGGACCCTATGGGTTCGAGAATTATGTAGACATGACTGAGACACCTCTCGGGTCAATAACCAATAGTGGAACCTGGATGCTCATATTGGTTCCCACATATTCTACGAAGATCTTTATCGGACGTATTGTAATGACAACATACGTTATTGAAGGAAATATGCCCTAGAGGCAATAATAAAGTTGTTTTTATATTTCCTTATATCATGATAAATGTTTATTATTCATGCTAGAATTGTATTAACCGGAAACTTGATACATGTGTGGATACATAGACAAAACACAGTGTCCCTAGTAAGCCTCTACTAGACTAACTCCTTAATCAAAGATGGTTAAGTTTCCTAACCATAGACATGTGTTGTCATTTGATGAACGGGATCACATCATTAGGAGAATGATGTGATGGACAAGACCCATCCATTAGCTTTGCATAATGATCGTTAAGTTTTATTGTTATTGCCTTCTTCATGGCTTATACATATTCCTCTGACTATGAGATTATGCAACTCTCAAATACCCGAGGAACACCTTGTGTGCTATCAAACGTCACAACGTAACTGGGTGATTACAAAGGGGTCTATCTAGGACACATCTAGATGCGACATAACCATGTCACATCTAACCTGATTTCCACTCTGTTTGTGGTCTATTTTCTGTCCTAGTTTTTTGTTTCTTGTTGCTGCATTATATATTTGTGGGAGCTTAGATGTGACATCCTTAAAAAACATCTAGATGTGAATTAGACAAACTGATTATAAAGATGCTCTACAGGTGTCTCCGAAAATGTTTGTTGGGTTGGCATATATCAAGATTGGTATTTCTCACTCCGAGTATTGGAGAGGTGTCTCTGGGCCCTCTCGGTAGTGCACATCACTATAAGCCTTGCAAGCAATGTGACTAATGAGTTAGTTGCGGGATGATGTATTACAGAACGAGTAAAGAGACTTGCCGGTAACGAGATTGAACTAGGTATGAAGATACCGACGATCGAATCTCGGGCAAGTAACATACCGATGACAAAGGGAATAGCGTATGTTGTTATGCGGTTTGACCGATAAAGATCTTCGTAGAATATGTAGGAACCAATATGAGCATCCAGGTTCCGCTATTGGTTATTGACCGAAGATGTGTCTCGGTCATGTCTACATAGTTCTCGAACCCGTAGGGTCCGCACGCTTAACGTTCGATGACGATTTGTATTTATGAGTTATGTGTTTTGGTGACCGAAGTTTGTTAGGAGTCCCGGATGAGATCACGGACATGACTAGGAGTCTCGAAATGGTCGAGAGATAAAGATCGATATATTGGAAGGTTATATTCGGACACCGGGAATGGTTCTGAAGTGTTTCGGGTATTTTTCAGAGT